TCCTCTTCTCCTCCCGCCTTCAATCTTTCCCAGCATCAGGGTTTTTCCAATGAGTCAGTTCTTCCCATCAGGTGGCCAAAGTATTGGAGTTTCAGCCTCAGCATCAGTCCTTCCAATGAATATTCAGGACTGATCTCCTTTAGGATGGACTGGTTGGATCTCCTTGCAGTCCAAGGGACTCTCAAGAGTCTTTTCTTCTCCAACACCACAATTCAAAATGTCCAGTTCTTTTTTTTTTTCCATTTATTTTTATTAGTTGGAGGCTAATTACTTTACATCATTGCAGTGGTTTTTTCATACATTGAAATGAATTAGCCATGGATTTACATGTATTCCCCATCCCTGTCCCCTCCTCCCACCTCCCTCTCCACCCGATCCCTCTGGGTCTTCCCAGTGCACTAGGCCCGAGCACTTGTCTCATGCACCCAACCTGGGCTGGTGATCTGTTTCACCCTAGATAATATAGCATGTCCAGTTCTAATTGTTGCTTCCTGACCTGCATACAGATTTCTCAAGAGGCAGGTCAGGTGGTCTGGTATTCACAACTCTTTCAGAATTTTCCACAACTTACTGTGATCCACAGTCAAAGGCTTTGGCATAGTCAATAAAGGAGAAATAGATGCTTTTCTGGAACTCTCTTGTTTTTTTGAAGATTCAGTGGATGTTGGCAATTTGCTCTCTGGTTCCTCTGCCTTTTCTAAACCCAGCTTGAACATCTGGAAGTTCTCAGTTCACATACTGTTGAAGCCTGGCTTGGAGAATTTTGAGCATTACTTTACTATCATGTGAGATGAGTGCAATTGTACAGTAGTTTGAACATTCTTTGGCATTGCCTTTCTTTGGGATTGGAATGAAAATGGACCTTTTCCAGTCCTGTGGCCACTGCTGAGTTTTCCAAATTTACTGGCATATTGAGTGCAGCACTTTCACAGCATCATCTTTTAGGATTTGAAATAGCTCAACTAGAATTCCATCACCTCCACTAACTTTGTTCATAGTGATGCTTCCTAAGGCCCACTTGACTTCACATTTCTGGATGTCTGGCCCTAGGTGAGTGATCACACCATTGTGATTATCTGGGTCATAAAGATCTTTTCTGTATAGTTCTTCTCTGTATTCTTGCCACCTCTTCTTAATATCTTCTGCTTCTGTTAGGTCCATATGATTTCTGTCCTTTATTGAGCCCATCTTTGCATGAAATGCTCCCTTGATATCGCTAATTTTCTTGAAGAGATCTCTAGTCTTTCCCATTCTGTTGTTTTCCTCTATTTCTTTGCATTGATCACTGAGGAAGGCTTTCTTATCTCTCCTTGCTATTCTTTGGAACAGTGTGTTCAAATGGGTATATCTTTCCTTTTGTCTTTTGCTTTTCTCTTCTCTTCTTTTCACAGCTATTTGTAAGGCCTCCTCAGACAGCCATGTTGCTTTTTTTGCATTTCTTTTTCTTGGGGATGGTCTTGATCTTTGTCTCCTGTACAATGTCACGAACCTCCATCCATAGTTCATCAGGCACTCTGTCTATCAGATCTAATCCCTTGAATCAATTTCTCACTCCCACTGTATAATCGTAAGGGATTTGATTTAGGTCATACCTGAATGGTCATGTGGTTTTCCCTACTTTCTTCAATTTAAGTCTGAATTTGGCAACAAGGAGTTCATGATCTGAGCCACAGTCAGCTCTCGGTCTTGTTTTTGCTGACTATATAGAGCTTCTCCATCTTTGGCTGCAAAGAATATAATCAATCTGATTTTGGTACTGACCATCTGGTGACGTCCATGTGTAACAGAGACCTCACTATTCTCTAACACTTCCTACACCTCAATGACAGCAAAGGCTTTTGCAACACACTATTCTTGGTACCTTATACCAGTGAGTAGGTGAATGAACATCTCTGAGTGGGTATATATAAAGTAAGCTGTTTCTCCATTACTAGTTCATCCTACTGGAACAATCTCTCTTTCTCTAAGGTTGAAGCCATCTACTTCCATCCATCAACTTTTTAGTCACTCTTACACATTCCCTGAAAACCCTGACCCTTAAAAGAGATGTCAGTTTCACTTGTCATTCCACAGACTTAGGTGATTTCAAAATCTGGGTGGACTGACTGAGTCAACACCTTTGTCCCATAATTCATTATCCTGATCATATCCAAAGAACTTCACCTATATCCAACTTAAGCAACCAATTCAAGTAGCCACAGCCTAGACTGGTGGTGTGCATAAACTAAAAGCTGATGCTCTGTGACAACCTAGAGGGGTGGGGTGGGGCGGGAGGTGAGAGGGAGGTTTAAGAGGGAGAAGACATATGTATACCTATAGCTGATTCATGCTGACGTATGGCAGAAGCCATCACAATACTGTAAAGCAATTATCCTCCAACAAAAAATTAAATTTAAAAAATCCACTAGAGGACTTCTTAAGGATTGCCCCACCCCCAGAGTTTCTGGTTCATTAGGTTTAGGACAGGGCCCCCAAATTTGCATTTGTAACAAGTGCTTAGATGATACTGTTGTTTCTGACAACTTAAAGAATCACAGGTCTGTGTCTCTTCATTACCCAGAAATGGTTTACATTCAAAGCATCCCAACTCTGATAGCCATTTTCCAGCTCGACCTTCGGCCCTTTTAGACTTCACTCCCAATATACCTGTATTTGATCACAGCCCTACTCAAAATCTACCTACTTGTTTTTGGTCAATAATTTCTTTCATCCTGAATATTTGCTATTTTTAATACTGGCCAATTTCCTCAAGGTCACAATCACCCTCTGCCATCCTTACTCCCCACAGATCACCTCAACTCTTAACAGAGAAAACAGAGGTTAAAAGGCAGGAACTACTTTATTTCCTCTGAACATGCCTTCACACTTCTCCATTTCAGTAACCAACTTCACCTCCTTCATTCTAGCCTCAGAAAGATATCCCTTCTAAAGTCCAATATAATATTTCTAATTATTTTCTCAATCCTACACTCTACCACAGCCTCCAAATCTCTGCTTCATCAAAAGAACACATGCCTATAATTTCAAACTCTCCCTCACTACTGGCAGAGTACATGTATTTTTAATTTTAATAGAAAGCTGACAGATTGCTTTTCAAAAAGACTGTTACACTGTGGCAGAACACTGGAAGTTTATTTTCAGAAGAGGTTAAACCAACGAGAGATTCTGGATCAGAAATCATAGCCCAGCTGAGAACAAAAGCACTATACTAAGAAGAAACACTGAAATTCCAACCTCTTTTCCCTTGTTCAGCTCTAACACCAGCAGTCGGGCATCCATCCCTCAAATGGGATGCTAGGAAGAGTCCTTCCTGGGAAAAATGAACAATTCAAAAAACAGGTACAGATGCTGAAAGCTAGAAATCCTCCAGTGAATGCTAGGTCCCTACCCAATTACCTTAAGGTGAGGATAATGTAGGGTGACTAACCATTCTATTTTGCCCATCCTGTTGTTATGGTTTTAGTACTGCAAGTCGTGTGTCCTAGAAAACCCCTCAGACTAGGATGGTTGGCCACCTGTGGACAAGCCTCACCCCTGAATACAAACTTCCAATCAACTGTTTATGTCTTCCTCTTAAAAATGATAGGGTAGTCAAGGATTATCAAACATTTGAGAAAAAACAAACACTAATGGAAACAGAAAACAGAACGCAGCAACTACTAATAATGCAAGAAGCCAAAAAAAAAAAAAGGTTATGCACCGACAAAACATGAAACAGAAGACTATTAAAAAAAGAACACAGAGCTTTGAGAATTGAAGTAAAATTTCTGGTTTAAAAAGGTCCACCAAAATCCAAATACAATACATGAAAAACACCCACACCTCTGGGCTTGACTGTAAAATTTCAGAATCTTAGAACAAAGAAAAGATCTAAAAAAAGATCTGTTTTTTTCCCAGCAGAGGGGGAGAACTTCACACATAAAAGATAAAAAATCAGAAAAATACAAAGACTTCTCAAAAACAGTCCAAACCCTGGAAGAGAATGAAAATTTACTCCAAGTTCTAAGGAAACTACCATCTCTAACCTAGAGCTCTAAGACATTTTCTGACATGCTAGACCTTTAAAAGATGAATTCCCATGTACCTCTTCTCAGGAAGTTCCTAGCAGGTATGGTTCACCAAAAATAGGGAAATAAACCAAGAAAAATATGGGATTGGGAAACAAGGAATCCAACCCAAAAGAAAAGTGAAAAGGAGTCCTCAGGATGGCCTTGTGTAGGAGGCCCATAGAGCAACCAGTCTAGACTGGAGTGGAAGAACACAGAATTCTGGGCACAGTAGTGCCAAAAATGAACTAAAACAAAACAGAAAACTGATTACTCAGAATATGAGAAGATTTTTTCACTTCTAGAGAATAATTTTAGGATAAATTACTGATTGAAACATAGAAAACTAAGCAAATAAAAGAGACAAACACTAACATAGGTAAAACAAACAAAAATGTACAAGAAAAGAAATGTAACAATAGTCCATAGGCCTAGCTGTGTACATGATATATTGTGCTATAAAATGATACATACTTAAAATTTCATTTTTAATTTTTAAGGCTGCTATATATATATTTTTTCAAGCTCATAATTTTAAAAAGTGCAATAAAGTGTCTTTCCCTAACATTCGACTGACACTGATTCAGCAAAATTCACATATCACCCAGTTGACAAATCTCAGAATAAATGTTCTACCTTATAATCATCTTGAAATGAAATACTTGACTAAGTTCTAATTATTTTAAGAATTGCTAAAAAATTTTAAAAGCAGGTTATAAAACATTACGTATGGTATACATCAGGATTTTAAAATGTGTATATTATATATACTGTTAATGCACAGAAGATAAACAAAAAGTTCAGCCACTAAAGTATTAAGGGTGGTTATTATCAATGGTTTGAATGATTCTATTTCTTTCCACAAGGATTTTTATATTTATCAAATTCTCTTTAAAATCAGAAATAGTCACATGTATCTGTATACAGTCATCTTATCCAGATTTTTAAACTTACCAGGAATAATGAAAATAAGCAGCTTAGGCCTCGTGCCTCTTTGATTATTAATGAGGTCAGTCCAGGGCCCACATTTTAGAACCTGGGTTTCAACTCCACAACATAAAATGAATTCCTCATGCACAGGAATTTCTTCCTTGATTTCTGTGTCCATTTCTGAGTAAGGGGAGAAGAACAATATGAAGAGTCACTAAAATATAAAACCTTGAGCCAAAGGCAATATTCGAGAATAAAGAAGACAAAATTCAACATACCTAGAAGGAAATGTCACAAAGAGTTATGGGAAAAATATGATTATTTAGCTACCCTAGATTTTTGGATTAAAAAAAAAAATAAACCACCAGAGTAGGGAGATAGAGAGACATGTCTGGTGAAATTAAAGACGATAGAGGAGTGTGAATCAAAACAACCCCCCCCCAAAAAAAACAAAAACCCCACCATTCTCCTCTCCAGTCTAAACTGACAATATCCATGGCTAACTTTTATTTCCCCTCTGCTTGAATTCTCCTACAGCTATATGCTTGAACAGTGAGACCTGGTGAAGTCTGGTGAAGAAATAGAGGCTCTCACTGCTCTTGTACTCTCCCAGATAAGAAGGTAAAGAAGGAGAGTGAACTCTTTGATGAGCTCTGACTTTTTCCCTTTATGTTATATTTTTATGATATTAAAGCATTATATTATTAAATTATGAAATGGGTAGGTATAAAAAAATAGAATATCAGATAACATCACAAACAATTTTCTGAATAACCATAAAACAATTTTCTGAATAATCAAGATATGTACAAAAATGCAGTCCCAAATTACTTCTATCAGCCCTCCATCTCTGCCTCTGCCTCTATCAATAGGACCAAGTCCCAGACTTTCATTGGTCTTTCTATCCTCCTCTTCAACTATTCTCCTTTCACTCAAAGCCATCCAGAGTCTAGATTATAAGTTCCCCTCAAGCTTTTTCTCCTCTTACTGCTTTACCATTAACCTTGCACTCTGGTCTGTCTTGTCCCTGCAGTTCCTCAGTTATCTTCATGTTTTTCTGCTCCTAGAGCTTTGCCGATGTTTTACTCCCCCACCACTTTTGAAATGCTTTCCTCCTTGTGCCAGTTATCAATGCACTGCCTCCAAATTCACTCTTCATTGCCTTCTCTGGACAAATGGATCTGGGTCTTTTAAGTATTTTCCCTCTGCCAACTGACATGATGTTAACCTTGAAGAATGGGCTGGAAGAGAGACACTGCAGAAGAAAGGATTTTTCCCCCTGGTTTCAATATACTCTCTCAGAAGATTTCTCGAGGACTTGTCCCCCCTACTTCCATGCTTAGGCTGTGAGGTCTCTCTAGAGCAGTGACTTCCAAGGGGAGACAATTTTGTCCCCCAGAAGACATATGGCAAAAAATAAAAACAGTTTTTATTGTCACTTGGTATCAGGGGAGGTATTACTACCAGCATCTAGTGAGTAGAGGCCAGGGATACTGTTTAACACCCTACACTGCACAGGACAGGCCCCCACAACAAAGAATCACTAGCCCAAAAGGTCAATAGTGGAAAACTATCTGGAATGAAAATTTTTCACTTATGAAGTGGGGACTCCTTTCAAAATTATATTAACATACATTGACTAAGTAAATAAAAGTATCATCTCACCTTTTCAATTGATTTTTAGTTCACTAATAAATGTCACTGTAGCCCAATCTCTAAAACTATCACAAGATACAATATATTTATAAAGGTCTTATGACATTTATAAAGTGTTAGAAACAATTAGATTTAACTGTTATACACAGTACTAAATTAGAGTGCTGACAGAGAGGACACTGGCTAAATTTAAGATTTGCCCCAGAAAGAGAATCCAAAGTTATTAACTATATTCAACTCATAAACACTTAACTTCAAAGTAAATGACATCTTAGGAGCTTAGCCACAGAATTAACAAGAATGCAAGCAGATATGAAAGTCAAACAGTCTATGAAAATTGGAAAACAAGCAAAAAACTAACAATAACTCTAAACACTTCAAGTAAAATACCACTGAGAAACCTGCAGTTAATGTACATATTGTAAAGCATCTTTTTATTTTATTTCACTCTTATGTTTCTGAATCTTACACAGCCAAATAAAAAAAAGTAAAGAAAAATTTTACTTTCTTCCTTACCTAAGAACCCAGGGTAACTCAGTGCTGCAAACAATGGGCAGATTAACAGGAGACAATGTGTTCTAATATATATTATTAAAAGTTGATGGCCCCGCCCTCAGGCACCACCTACAAGCAATCTTTAATGGTCAGTTTTGACAAGCAGTAAGACTTACGCTGGATTAAAAACCAGGTACACAGTGTAGCTACAATCTGCACAACTTAGGTAAGCTTTACTCAGCTAAGCATAGGTGTTTATCTGCTTATATTAATTGGATTCTAACTTTATTTAGGTCAAAAGAAAGAAAAAGAAAACTACACATTAACACCTCTCATATCTATACCTTAACAAAATATAATAAATAGAATCTAGCAACATAGAAGATGAGTTATGTGGGATCTATTCCAGGTATATTTAACATTCAAAAATCAATCAATGTAGTTCACCTATTAAGCTACTAAAGAAAAAAAACAAACACATGAGTTAACTAAATGCATATCCTGTTACCCAACAATCGTATTACTGGGTATCTGTCCTAGAGGTATAAAAACATATTCACGCAAAAACATTCAAGCAAAGATTCACAACAGTTCTATTTGTAACAGTCTACAACTAGACATTACAAAAAAGTGAATGGCTAAACCAACTATGATAAGCCATACCATAGAATACTACTCAGCAAGAAAAAGGAACAAACTATTGACTCACTCAACAGTTTGCATGGATCTCTAAGGAATTATGCATCCTGTCTGGTGTGCAAAAATAAAAAAACTCAAAGGTGAGAGATTACAGTAAACTCCAGTAGCCTGCAGCAAAGAACTTCAAGAGAGCTATGAAATCGGTGCAGGGGTGTGGACAGGTCCTGCTTTAAGGGTTGACATTTACTGAGTGCTTATTATGTGCAAAGTACTGTTCCAAGTGTTACATGAAGTATCTCAGTTAAGAAAACAATCTTATCAGCTGGCTACTAATGTACCCCATTTTATACATAAGACAAAATGAGACACGGACTATTTCCGAAAAATACCATGATGCATCACACGCGGTAGAGGCAACAAAAGTCACAACTGTTTTCCCAAAATGCTGCACTCTTTAAGTTCAAGGCAACAAGTGCCATTTTGACCTTGACGTCACGGAGAACCATCAGACCAACTAGAGTGAACCTCAAACAAATGGTGGTGGTGGTTGTTAAGTTGCTAAGTCGTGTCCGACGCTGCGTCCCCATAGACTGCAGCACGCCAGGCTCAGAGGAGGGCCAAGTCAGAGATTGGTGCAACAGTCAGTTCTCAAGGATACCTGGTGTAACAAATTTGAGAGGCAGCGGGAAGGCGGTTGATCCTGAGGAGAAACTTGATTCCAAACCAAAAGAGACCATCAATGGACAAGGTGGGAAACTGACACCCAGGGCGGCCCCAGAGTTGACTAGCTCAAGGCTAGAGGCTTAGTTACTTCAAGCACTCAGACCTTTGGGTTCCCTAGCCCAGACTTTGGCCACTTCTAGTCACTTGTTCCCTATCAGCCGTCCGAAGTCCGGGCCCCCTACTCCCCCAAAGGGGCCGCCATAAGACTCCCTTCAGGCAGGCTGCCCTTAGCGGTCCACATGCTACGTTCCCGCTGGGCCGGCAGGCCAAAGGGCTCCGGGCGCCCAAGAGGTCGCAGGCCCCGTTATTCACGCTCCTACCGGCCGTCTGACTAAGGGCGGCACGGGGTCTGCGAGAGCCATTAAGAGAAAGGGCTGCATCTCCCGCGTGCCTGTCCCGCCGTCCTTCCTCCTATGAAGTCACCCCCAGAACGTGGGAGGAAGCTCCTCACCTGTCCACCCGGAAGGCACCACCTTCTACCAAAACCTGAGTTAGGCGTCACTGGGACAAGAAGTCCCGCCCCCTCTGATGTCATAGCGCAGCGCCGCGCGCTGCACTGGGAAGCGGAGGCCCTCCGGGTGACTGGGTGTGGCGAGGTTTGCGAGATTCTTGACCCTGGTTTGGACCCGGTGGCCCGGAACCAGCGAAAGCGCCGGAAAGCTTTATCTGTGCTGGAACTTTCTTTCCTCCTTCCTTTGAATTTCACCCGCCTCTTATTTTAATCATCCCTGATACACTTCAAGCTTCCCTTTCTCCAAGTCTTTCCCCCGTGTTTTCCTCTGCCCATGTTTCCTTTTCCTCTCTTACAGGTTGCATCTTTTCCTTTAGTTTGCCCACATTCACGGAAAAGTTGGGTCTCAGCTGACCAGTTTCTTAGCATTAATATACCCAGCCTCTGCTAGTCGGCCCTGTAGCAAAATGATGAATATCCCTATTTCAGAGATATTTTAAGCTGTGGACTAAAAAAAAAGGATGCACGACTTGAGAGTTGCCTGTTATGTTTATTTGGGGGCAAAATGAGAACTGCAGCCTGGGAGGCAGCAGCCTCAGCTAGCTCTGAGAGATTGCTCCAAAGAGTCCACAGTGGAAGGTGGATATATAAGATTTTGGTGAAGGGGGAGAGTTCAATACAATTAGGCATTCCTTTTTACAAAAGGTTTTCTGCTTGTCACGAGCCTCTGACGTCACCATGAAGGGATCCAGTGCTTTTTAAAGGGCTTACCTGATAGCTCAGTTGGTAAAGAATCCACCTGCAATGCAGGAGATGTTGGTTTGATTCCTGGGTCAGGAAGATCTGCTGGAGAAGGGATAGGCTGCCCACTCCAGTATTTTTGGGCCTCTCTTGTGGCTCAGGTAGTAAATAGTCTGTCTGCAATGCGGGAGAGCTGGTTTCAATCCCTGGGTTGGGAAGATCCCTGGAGAAGGGAAAGGCTACCCACTCCAGTATTCTGGCCTGGAGAATTCCATGGACTATACAGTCCATGGGTTTGCAAAGAGTCGGACATGACTGAGCGACTTTCACTTTCACTTCTGTAGTCACAAGGCTCCGATGTCACCATGAAGGGATTTAGTGCTTTTCTAGATATGAGGAGATGCAAGGATTGAGAACATAAAATCTGTTTCTAAAAACATCCAACCATCTAAAGACCTGTCCCACCAGATTTCCTGGAGCACAGAGTGCCTCGTTCCACCCTGAACTCCTTTGGGTGGTTGAAGGTCAACAGCTGCAATAGCACAAGGTTCAATCTCCACAGAGGCAGATGGCTAATTCCCTTATTGTTGTTCAGTTGTTGGCAAATGCTCTTGGCAAGTGCCAATTTGCAGCTGACAGAGCTTACATACCTAAACTCCATGAAGACAAAAGTCATATTCATTTTGTGAACTGTTGATATCCTCAGCACCTGGCACATAGGTGAGTGGCATATGTCTGTCAAAAAATGCAGTAGAGAAAATGAAATAGTTTTCTAGCACCAGGGAGAAGCAGACAAGTAGACTGGCAAATCAATAATCTACCCCACACATAGTAAAGAAGACTTGATCCTTTTGTATTTAATATCTCAGTGGAGGCACCATCTTCTAGCTGGCAGTTGGAAGTTGACTGGTACCTCTTTATTACCTTCTCGGCTTTTGGTTTACTTCTAGATATAATGGTTAACCCAATGAGTTTAGAAAAGGCCACTCCTGGGCTGGAGGAAGCACAAGCTGGAATCAAGATTGCCAGGAGAAGTATCAAGAACCTCAGATATGCAGGTGACACCACCCTTATGGCAGAAAGTGAAGAAGAACTAAAGAGCCTCTTGATGAAAGAGGAGAGTGAAAAAGTTGGCTTAAACCTCAACATTCAGAAAACTAAGATCATGGCATCCAGTCCCATCACTTAATGGCAAATAAATTGGGAAACAGTGGAAACAGTGGCTGACTTTATTTTTTTGGGCTCCAAAATCACTGCAGATGGTGACTGCAGCCATGAAATTAAAAGATGCTTCCTCCTTGGAAGAAAAGTTATGAGCAACCTAGACAGCATATTAAAAAGCAGAGACATTACTTTGCCAACAAAGGTCCATTGAGTCAAGGCTATGGTTTTTCCAGTGATCATGTATGGATGTGAGAATTGGACTGTGAAGAAAGCTGAGCACTGACAAATTAATGCTTTTGAACTGTGGTGTTGGATAAGACTCTTGAGAGTCCCTTGGATTGAAAGGAGATCCAACCAGTCCATCCTAAAGGAGATCAGTCCTGGGTGTTCATTGGAAGGACTGATGTTGAAGCCACAACTCCAATACTTTAGCCACCTGATGTGAAGAGCTGACTCATTTGAAAAGACCCTGATCCTGGGAAAGATTGAGGGCAGGAGGAAAAGGGGACGACAGAAGATCAGATGGTTGGATGGCATCACTGACTTGATGGACATAGGTTTGAGTGGACTCCGGGAGTTGGTGATGGACACAGAGGCCTGGCATGCTGCCGTTCATGGGGTCACAAAGAGTTGGACACGACTGACTGAACTGGACTGTGCTTAGAGCTTCTAATGGATCAACATTTTGAATCCTCACACAACCCCAATGAGGTCAATATTAACACATGACTGTAGAGTCTGGAAACCGACAAATGCACAAAATAAGTGAATAATTACAATGCAGTCACACTACATGGGGGCTTTCCAGGTGGCGCTGGTGGTAAAGAACCTGACTGCCAGTGCAGGAGATTTAAGAGAAGTGGGTTTGATCCCTGGGTCTGAAGATCCCCCAGAGGAAGGCATGTCAACCTACAACAGTATTCTTGCCTGAAGAATCCCATGGACAGAGGACTCTGGAGGACTATAGTCCATAGGGTTGCACAGAGTCAGACATGACTGTAGCAACTTAGCACACATGCATGGCACTACATGACTTGTTCAAGGTGTTGTTGTCCCTTGTTACTAATGTACAGCTCTATGTGTGCAGAATTCCAGTGAGTGTGGTTAAAGTGCAGCAGTTATTTCAATTCTTGCATAGGCATTTGCGGTGCATTGCTCAAGTGATTTTTGTCTGCAGTTTCATTAAATAAATCTGTGCCAGAAAAAGTAACCACAGGGGTTCCATCTTTCTTTTTTTTTTAATATATCTTTCCAAATCTTTGGCTAGTCGATGTTATCCCCATATTATTTGCTGTTCAAATAGTTTCTACTTTTAACCTTCAAGGCATTTGTTAGGATTGCACTTCTCTTATAGGCCAGGGTTGGGGGAATCCTAGGAAGGGAGCAACCAAGGGGATGTGAGTATTTTTGGCCAATGAACTGTGAGGAGAAATACTGTGTCACTTCCCGGCTGAGCAGTTGATATTTCTTGTGTGAAATCCTCCAAAATGTCACTGTATCCTCTGGTGAGATGATGGCAACATTTGAATGATGTCTGTCCTGAACAGCCTGTGTCCTTGAGTAGCTGCTGCTACATAAAACCTATTGACCAAAAACAACAACAACAAAAACCCAAAACCTATTGACCATCCTGTGATGACTATTGGAGAAAGAAACCTCTATTGCTATTTTTGGTTCTGTTACAGTGTAGCCTGTCTGCATTGACACAGAGGGACAGCCTACATAGAGAGGCTCTTTTTCTCACTCTCTTGATTTGAATTCCAAATACTCAGGGCAGACTTTCTGATTGACTGGACTTGGGTCTGGTTGTCAGCAGTTATCCAATCATCAGTGACAAGCATTAGGGGTCATACTGTACCTTGTAGACAAGGACCCTCTGCTACAGTTAAGGATTTAGTGAGCAGGCAAACGTTCCACAAAGATGTCCACTACAAGCACACTTGGCTATAAAATCAGACCATTGTATACTGATTTAAAAAACAATAAATGAAATGGAAAGACTTTCACCTTTTACATAAAAAGTTTAGACTGCTGTTACTCCTTCACTGAGTACCTGTTACATTCCCAACATTCTTCCGGGCTCTGAGGACACAAAGGCAGCCTAGGGAGAAAAACACTTGCTCCGGAAAATAAACAAATTTAAACACAGTGATATAATAAGGACAGTGAAGGAGAACGAAAAGGTGGGGTAACACAGACTGAGGAGTGCATTTATTACCTACTGCTGCTTAGCAAATTCTCTAAAACATAGCAGCCTAAAGCAAACATTTATTATATTGGACAATTTCTGAGGGTCAGGAAAGCTCCAGAGTCAGGAGCTCAAAGTCTTTTATCAGATTTCAGCCAAGCTGGCTGGCTGGTCAGGGCTAAAGACATCTCAAGCTCCACTGAGGCTGGGAAATCCACCTCTAAGCTCAACCACGTGATTGCTGGCCAGCCATTGTCTCTCACTGGCTGTTGGCCAGAAGGAGACCTCCTCCAGCGGCACCTGGGAACTCATTATAAAAGCACTCAGGGCTGACTCCACGTTTCATTAATCCAGCAGTGTCCACAAAAAAGATGCAATCCAGGGTCTTCTGATTGTTTGACTTCGTGACTATTCATCACTATTGTGGGTCCTCCATTACTTCTGCAAAGTGTCCCCAACAACTGTTGCCGTTTCTAAGTGTTGCTTTTAAAGATCTCTGCATATGTGATTTGGACCATATCAGAAATACAAGCTTTTTTTTTTTTTTTTTCTCTTCCTCTTTAATGATATTGCCCATGAAATGGCAGGAAGCTGAGATACTATCGCCACTGCAGCTTCCTCCCTGTCAGTTCTGTATGTGGTTGACAGTCTCCTTAAATCATTCTGTGTCCATGGGACACTGCATGGAGACTTCTCTGCTCAACAGGTACTCTGTTACAGTGGCTCCTGAGAGTGAGACAGACAAGTGGGTAACACTTAGATATTTATGATAGTAAAGAGTATTTCTGGTGGATGTTGTGAGATTGTTAGAAGGAACTTCACTTATTAATAAAATATGTTCCCATCTTTCT